GTTAGCCAGGATGGTCTCGATCTCCTGACCTCGTGATCCGCCCGTCTCGGCCTCCCAAAGTGCTGGGATTACAGGCTTGAGCCACCACGCCCGGCCTTTGTATTTTTTTTTAGTAGAGATGGGGTTTCGCCACGTTGGCCAGGTTGGTCTGGAACTCGACCTCAGGTGATCTGCCCACCACGGGCTTCCAGAGTGCTGATATTACAGGCATGAGCCACTGCACCCAGCCTTTTATGGTTATTTCTTGATGATATGCTAAGCAAGGGGTGGATTATTCATGCCTTCCTTTTTTAGACCATATAGGATAACTTCCTGACATTGCCATGGCATTTGTAAACTGTCATGGCGCTGGTGGGAGTGTAGCAGTGAGGACGACCAGAGGTCACTCTTGTGACCTTCTTAGTTTTGGTGGGTGTTAGCTGGCTTCTTTACTGCAACCTGTTTTATCAGGAAGGTCTTTATGACCTGTATCCTGTGCCGACCTCCTATCTCATTCAGTGACTTAGAATGGCTTAACTGTCTGGGAATGCAGCCCAGTAGGTCTCAGCATCATTTTACCTAGCTGCTATTCAAGACGCATTTGCTTTGGTTCAAATGCTTCTGACAATCATATTTATGATTGGGTTCCTACAACTGAGATAGTGGGGGAACAAGCTGAAGAATGCCACCTTGGCCTCTAACAAATCACTGTGTGACTATGGGAAAAATTACCTCTTCCCTTCTTGGTCTCCCATTTCCACGACTATAAAAATGAGATTGGCTGCTCACACCTGGAATCCCAGCACCTTGGGAGGCCGAGGTGGGTGGATCACTAGATCAGGGGATCGAGACCATCCTGACCAACATGGTGAAACCCTGTCTCTACTAAAATACAAAAAATTAGCCGGGCACGGTGGCAGGTGCCTGTAGTCCCAGCTACTTGGGACTGAGGCAGGGGAATCGCTTGAACCCAGAAGGCGGACGTTGCAGTGAGCCGAGATCACACCACTGCCTGGTGACAAAGTGAGACTCTGTCTCAAAAAAAAACAAGAGAGAAAAAAAAAAAGAAACAAAAATGAGACTGAGAGTCACATTTATTTTACAAACTCCTGCTTCATCACCACCCAGTAGGAATAACTTCATTTTTATCTACAGCATACATTGTGGTTCAGTATTAAGTAGCATTTAAAGAAATGGTTGATGCTCAAAAGAAAGCTTAAAAACCCCCAAATTTGATGGTCTCTATCTTCTAATATTCCAAGATTTTAGTTTTTCTTAGTTGAATTTGCTATACTCTCCACAGGACATGTGAATTATCCATTCAGAGATGAGTTTACTAACCAGTACATGAGAAAAGTGAGTTTTTAAAGCATTTGAGTCAGATTGGCAAAAAAAGACCTTTCCTGGGCTGGTTTCAAATTAGAATTTTTCTGTAGGACCCAAGAATGAGCAGAGGTATACAAAATGGTCAAAACAGAAACATAATGCCAAGAGGGAAACGTTTTAAATGTCTAGGTTACACAAATCCCCAAAGTAAAAACACCCTGAAACCCATGTACTAAAGCGTTCCCCCTTTTTTAATACTGGTTTTCCTCCCCTTCCCTTCCCCTCCCCTCACATCCCCTCCCCTCCTCTCCCCTGTCTTCCCCTTCCCTCCTCTCCCCTTCCCCACCCTCCCTTCCCTTGTTCCCTTCCCTTCCCTTCCCCCAAGTTCTCTAACTTGCTCTAGTCAGTTTCTGCTTCATTTGTATTCCAAGTTTTCTACTTAGGAAGAATTTCAAGGCCCAAAGCACTTACTTCCCATACCATTTAAGGAAGTCCAAATCACTGGCTGGAAAAGTTGAAAAGGAATGCTTTCTACTGTCAGAACTTTTACTTCCTCATTCAGATGATCTGTGGGTTCTCTCTGTGAGAATTACATCCTCCACAACCCACAAGATTTTAGAATTTAAGTAAGTCAAGCCATAAACTAGATTCCAGTTAACAAGGATTCTCTGAATTTACAGCTCTACAACTAGTGAAAAGCAAGTGAGTTAATTTATTATTTTATTTTGAGATGGAGTCTCGCTCTGCGTGATCTTGGCTTACTGCAACTTCTGTCTCCCAGGTTCAAGCAGTCCTCCTGCCTCAGCCTCCCAAGTAGGGAGACTGGGATTACAGGCACATGCCACCATGCCTGGCTAATTTTTGTATTTTTAGTAGCGACAGGGTTTTGCCATGTTGGCCAGGCTGGCTTGCCTGACCTCAAGTGATCTGCCTGCCTTGGCCTCTCAAAGTGCTGGGATTACAGGTGTGAGCCACTGCACCGGGCCACAAGTGAGTTAATATTTAAGGCATCCTAGCCTCCATCTGCTCACCAGCATTCAATGTAGACCAGCGACTTAACTTGTCATTTCAACCACTTAAAACATTTCTTAGAAAGGACAGGATCTTCAGTAAGCTAAAAAGGTCCCTAACAGTCCAGTCTAATCCAGACTGGTAAAATATACCTTACAGAAAAAAATTTATTCAACATGAGGCAAGTTTTTTTACACAGGTGACCTAAAAAGTTGCAGGTATTTTTTCTTTGAGAGAGGGTCTCAAAAAAAATCCAGGCTAGAGTGCAGTGGCGTGCTCAGCCTCTTCCTCCTGGGCTCAAGCAATCCTCCTACCTCAGCCTCCTGAGAAGCTGGTACTACAGGTGCTTGCCACCACACCTGGCTAATTTTTGTATGTTTTGTAGGGATGGAGTTTCACCATGTTGCCCAGGCTGGTCTCAAAGTCCTCGGTTCAAGCGATTTGCCAGTCTCAGCCTTCCACAGTGCTGGGATTACAGGTGTGAGCCATGGCACCCAGCAGGTATTTGTTTAAATTACTCCTATCACTGTAAAACCTAACAAGTAGGGCAGAGGCAAACACATCTATTATAAATCTTATCATATCTGTTCTTTCTTATCAAACCTAAAATAGACTGTCCTTTATGTGATCAATTATTGGGCTCTGTTTATCTCTCCTATAATCTCTCTCTCTCTGTTCATTCTCCCCCTCTACATCTATCTTAAATCCTCATTTATTTTCCCTTTCCAGAATGGAGGGTGGGGCTAATCATAGCAAAATGTTTTTCACCAACCCTTCATTCATGATGTCACCAGAACCCACACACTTCTCTACCCACACTTCAGCCGTCCATCCCCAAAACAAACAAACAAAAAGCACACATACTGGGTTTCCACGGGCATGCAACAGAATACATCCCGAGACAGGAAAGAAATCTATCTGCTCAGTTCAGTTAACCAGAGTTCTTCACTTTGTAATTTAAAGATCACATTAAAACTGGCCAGTTGATAACACACGTGGGAGTAACAATGTCAGAGCAGGTAGAAGAGAATGAAAAATGTGAAATACATGGTAGGCTCTCGGGTCCCCACCTCTACTCTTACTCCCTAACAAAATTCCTGCCTAGTGTTTCCTTTTTTTTTTTTCTTTTCTAAGAGACAGGGTCTTACTATGTTGCCCAGGCTAGAGTGCAGTGGCTATTCACCCGTGATCATAGCACATTATGGTCTCAAACTCCTGAGCTCCAGTGATCCTCCCGAGTAGTTGGGACTACTGATGTGTGCCCAGCTCCTGTATCTTTTTTTAAAATATTGTATTTCTTTAGAGATAGGTTATCTCTATGTTGCCCAGGTTGGTCTCTGGACTCAAGTGATGTTCCCACCTCGGCCTCCTAAAATGCTGGGATTACAGGCATGAGCCACCACGCCTGGTCCTTCCATACTTTTGAAACCAGCATATAACAGGTAAAAAGGCAGTTAATGGGGCTGATAACCCAAGCTTCTTTTCCTTTTAAATAAAATTAACCGCTGACTGCCAAAGGTCAAAGGCATCTATTTTTCAGATGGAGCACTCCCTTATAATGCTGGAGTTGAAATTCTTCCTTGAACTCTAAGGCTGATTATGGTTATTAGTGGTCAGGCTATCCTGAGTAAGTAATTACGGTCCTCTGCCCTCCAGGGCGAGGATGGGCAGATTCCATGCTGTTGCTTAGGCTGGGGGCTGGCAGGAAGTGAAGGCCATCAGCCCTCTGAAGCCTTAGGCGTGTAATAGGGAACAGAAGGCAAGTATCTTTTCTTCTGAGATTGCGGCCTACAGAATAAGCAGGACCCTATCAACATTAGATGAGTTTGCAGCTACTCAGCACATTATCCCAAATACAAATAACTCATTTGGAGTTTCCATTCACTTTCATTCAATGAAGAGAAACGACTGTCCATTATCTTGGAAAAAAACATTTATAATGCCTAGTCCTCAAGAATAACTTGTTTTATTACCATGATTTGTGAAAAGCGACAGGGTAGACAGTTCAAGGAAGGACACAGACAGTGCCCTGTTTTAGGTTCCAAATTTCTTCTTTTTAATGGGTGGTGGGAGCTGAGCAATAATGTCATCCAGAGGCCGTTCCACTGCCACGAGTGTTCTTTCATCCAAAAGATCCATGAAGAGTAGAGGCTGCAGAGGGATGATAATGATTCTATCAGGACTTACAATCCAGGGCTAGTCCTGAATGAACTGACTATAGGTAGACACCATCTAAACTAAAAGGTTAGCCTAGTTCAAGGCTCAAATGATTTAAATCTCTTGACAATTTTTCCTGCCCTGGGACTCAAAATAGTTGGAATGTATAAAAGCTTTTTTTTCTTTTTTAGAGATGGGGGTCTGGCTATGTTGCCCAGGCAGGACAGCAGCGGCCACTCATAGACATGATCAACGTGCACTGAAGCCCTGAACTCCTGGGCAATGATCCTGCCTCAGTCTCCTGAGTAGCTGGGACAATAGGTAGGTGTGCACTGCTGCACCTGGCTCAAGACTGGGAACTTAACTGAGTTTACTCATAAAAGGTCTCAGCAGGATTTTTTTACATTTCTCTGGATAGAAAATCTATGCTTCTTATATCTCAAGAATCAGTGTTAGGCAAGGACTTTAAAGCCTAAATTATTATTTTTTTTAAGAGATAGAATCTCGACGTCACCCAGGCTGGAGTACAGTGGTGCAATCATACTCACTGCAGCCTTGAACTCCTGAGCAGAAGCTATCCTCCCATCTCAGCCTCTTGAGCAGCTGGGACTACAGGCATGTTCCACCACACCCAACTACTTTTTGTGTGTGTATATATATATGTATATATATATATTTTTGTAGAGACAGGTTCTCACTATGTTGCCCAGACTGGTCTTGAACTCCAGCCTCAGCCTCCTAGAGTGCTGAGATTATAGGAGTGAATCACCATACCCAGACTAAGGCAACTGACAACTGGCAAGTTACAAATGCATCAAGAAGCTAATCACATTTGAGTAATTTACAGACCTCGCCTCTTTTTTGTTAACAGTGATGGGGTTTTGCCATGGTGCCCAGGTATTTGAGTAGTGCCCAGGTTGGTGCCCAGGCTGGTCTTGAACTCCTGGGCTGAGGAGATCCACCTGCCTTGGCGTCCCAAAGTGCTGGGATTACAGGTATGAGCTACCAAGCCCAGCCTGCTTGACATTTATCCTATGGAACACTCCAACAAGCAAAATTTAAAGCCAGCTTTCACGCCAACAAAGACTCTACCTCAGTGCCAACGTTTCTCACTACTTACGCATTTCATTTTGGTTAAGTATGATGTGCCTGCCTCTAACCTACTAAGGCAAAAACAATAAAACATATACAAGGGACAGCCAGCTTCAAAAAGGTGATTTGTTTCCCACAATCCAGGTTCTCTGCATGGAAACTGAAGGTGCTCTTATCTTCCGATTGTGGAGTTTATTACATTTGGATATCACAAAGGAACCAACTATCCAGAATAACAACACAAGATGTTTTACCTTATATATCTTAGAAATTTTAAAAGCATGAGCTGTGCGCCTCCGGATGACATCTGATTCATTCGTGGGAGGAAATGGATTGTAGAGTAAGGTTTTGTCATTTGGAAGGGGCTAAAAAGACAAAGATACATTGTTTAAATGGTTACTTCTATTGGGCTTCCACAGACCAAAGATCTGTAGTGCATTTTTAGCCCAACATCATCTTCTAACCATCATATATATTCAGTACCTCCCTGACATTTGTTAATTCAGGAAAACAGCTGTAGCCATGATACTTCTATTCCGAAAAACTAGGGAGGAAAAAAGAAGAAAAGGAGAAAGAGGGAGAAAGAGCTGAAGCTACTCTTGCAGCCACACCACAGAGGGTTGGGAGTATGAGGCTAACAGAGCTTGTTACTCCATGCAGCAAGATCAAAGGGCCCTTCTGGGGCTTTTGGCCTGTCTCATCAGTAACACTTGGTCAGAAAGGAACAAACTGGCAAGTGCAGGAGCTCAGCCCACACAGGCTCTGTGCTTTCTAGACTCTCCCCCAACCAGATCATAGACTGGACAAGTGACTGAAGTTCTCCCCAGGCAAAACGTCAACACAAACCACCCCTGCTGATGTCACTGACACCTCGAGGTGGCCTCTGGCCAAACAAATGATATTTTGTCTCTGACTTCCTTGGGAAACAGCTATGCCTACTATAGGGAAGCGATGAACTTAAAACCAATGCTTGGGAAAAAATGATCTGGGCTCAATTACAAGAGGCAAGAGAGTGGGAGGGGCCCTTCCTGTATCACTCATCTTGCAGAAGGCACTTGTCAGCCAGCTCTGCTTCCCACACCCAGAGGTCGCAGGGCCCACGAGATGATTTCAATGACACATCCCTGTGCACACCTCCTTTAGAGCCATCTGCTGCTTTCCCCTACGTTCCTTCCACCCCCACCTTCACAGACACACCAAAACACCGTGTCATGGTTGTAATCTAAACCCAAAGTGCAGGACAGGCATGGCCACAATGCTTCTAGGAAACAAAGCACCTACCCAGAAAAGACATAAATTCAGGGTGAATCAAAACAGCAGATGGCAAAGAGGACAGAATCTAAAACTGAAGAAAATGCTCATATCCCATCTAAATCACAGCCATGAAGAATTTTCCTAGCTAGGTTTTTCGGAGATGTTAAGACCAGTTCCTCAAGCCTGCAGACAGCATTTCAGCAGCTTCAGCCAAGGGGTACAGAGGTCAAAACCTCAGCCTGTACCTCCTTTAATGAAATCATGTTATTCAGATATCCCAGAGTTCAAAGTTGGAAGCAAGTTACCCAAATCACTGATTCTTCCTGATGAGGGTCACCTTCTGAATACTGGCCTAATCACTTTTCTGTGTAAGATTTATGTGCTCACTGGCAAAGCAGAGAAATAGTCAAATCAGCAAAAGCCAGTACACAAAGGCCAGCCCCTTCCCTGAGAACCTCCCGAAGAACTGTGGGAACACAAACCAGGGAAAAACAAAGGCCTCTCTCCTCTAAGAAATGTACTAGCTACCTCTATTCTGATTTACTAGCTACTTTTATTCTGATTCTCCTTCCTCTTATCTTATTGTACTTGTTGCTTTTAGAACTTGAAGATTCAGAAGAAGATTTGGGAGGTAGCAGTGAAGAACTCACCAATGACTTGTCAATGATGCAGAACATGTAGGCATCATGGAGAAGGATGTGCATCGGTCTCTTGGGATGAAAACTGATGTGTGTGATAGGAGTATCCCTTTGGAGCCAAAGGTGGTGAAAGCCCTGCTTCTGGACAGTCCGGCTCCAATCTGTATACTGTTTGTCTGGGATGCTGTACTCAAATACCTGAGGAAGGACATGACACAGAGAAATGCAGGCTGGTACTCAGAAAGACCAGAAGGGCATTCTCATTCCTAACCAGAAAGTATCTACACAAACCTTCAGCTCCCACCACTTTTTTTTTTTTTTTTTTTTTTTGATGATGTCTTGCTCTGTTGCCCAGGCTGGAGTTGGAGTGTAGTGGCTTGATCTCGGCTCACTGCAAGCTCCGCCTCCCGAGTTCAAACCATTCTCCTGCCTCAGCTTTCCGAGTAGCTGGGACTATAGGCACCCGCCACCACGCCCGGCTAATTTTTTGTATTTTTAGTAGAGACGGGGTTTCACCGTGTTAGCCAGGATGGTCTTGATCTCCTCACCTCGTGATCTGCCTGACTTGGCCTCCCAAAGTGCTGGGATTACAGGCATGAGACACTGCGCCTGGCCCATCTTTTTAGAGCTATTTTATGCACATAATACATAGTGTCCTGTATCTTGCTTTTCTTGCTCAGTGTTATATCATGGAGACTGACCCACATTAATATACATATACATCAGTCATGCCCATTTTGAAACATACAATACTCCACTCATTTTATGCATGTATCATGATTTACTTATCCAGTCTGCTTAGTGGACATTAGCTTGTTTCATATCTTTGTCTACTACAACAAAGTTGCAATGAACTGTCTCTGTATAAATGTCTTTTTGCACAGCT